ATTGCTTGCCCCCACCACCGCCGCCGCCGCAAAAGAACGGGTTGCCCGAGGCCGGAGCTGCGGCACTGGGACACCCTGGAGCAGCAGCCGGAGCTACTGTTGCGGGCGGCACCTCATCGGCCGGCATCACCGCCATTCCCACCCGCGTCTACAACAATGCCATTGTGAAGGCTTCTGCCAAAGCCGTTGAGTGCAACTTGTGCCGCAAGCGGCATGTGATCGCACCGGCGGTGTATTGCACCAACTGCGAGTACTACCTGCAGATGCTGAACCAGCGCAGATGATGATGATTCCAACATCGACCATCTCTAGTGCAACTTTCTAGCCGTACATGGAACCCGTTAATCTCAAGCAATACATTGCTGCCACGTCGCCAATAAGGATCCGCCAAGGATGTACATACATAGCATGGTTACAAATACGTAGGTATAAGGATACAAGGTGGTGCCAGCAGTCAGTCAGGACTCAAGGATCAGGCGGAATGCGGAAACGGAGGGGAAGCACAGTCCTTCTATGGTTCTACATGAGAAGTTCCCGCTGTGACACACAACCCACCCACAATGCCACCACCACCCATCACCACCCACATCACGCCAAATGTCCCCAAGCACACGCACACAAGCATATTGTACACGCCCACTCATACCTACACATATACTTGCCCAGGCATTGTGCTAATTCTTAGCGAGTACGAGTAAAATCCAACCGCTACATCGTTTACAAGCTGCACAGTGCCAGCCGTCGCCCCATTGGACATCGATCGCTTGACTAACTCCACATAGTGAAACACCCAAAGCCTGGCCAGCCGTCCGCCTTCATAAGCCACATAAGTGTATTTTGTTTCGACAACGAATTTTACTTACCTATTTTACCTAAGCTAACGCTAACTAAATACGATTTATTTCTCTACGTGAGACGCCAGCAGTTTGAAACTTGATCGCTGAGCTTCCTTGTGCGTGCTGTTGTCCAACGACACTCGCATTACCATTTTTTTTACATATTTTTTTTGTATCATTTTTTGTTTTACTCTAATCAGTTTAGGCATTTATTTTTTTATTGACGTACTTAATTATGTTAAGAATATTTTTTGTGTCTTGCATTTAAACGATTCTGTGTATTTATAGTGTTAAAATTACTTTTACAGATTACATCGATTTATTAAGATCTATTTTTGTATAACATTTTTAAAAGATACTTCTCTTTGCAGCATATGAGCAACGAAAAAAGAGATGTCGAGCATCCACAAATAATATTTTTAAATAAATACATACAAACAAAATCATAAAGTCTTTTGGTTTTGGTTTTTGAGTTTAAGTTACCAGGCGATCAGGAATTCCAGAAGGTAACCAACGACCAATTGGTTACTTGGTTTTCAGTAGAAACCTGCTACTGAGTATGATCGCCTGGTGCCAAAAATCGAAAAAATTCACAAATTTGCTATAAAAATGTGCATAATTGTGAGATTTTTCGGTTTAAATTACCAGGCAAACAGGAATTCCAGAAGGTGACCAACGATCAATTGGTTACTTGGTTTTCAGTAGAAGCCTGCTACTTAGTATGATCGCCTGGTGCCAAAAATCGAAAAAATTCACAAATTTGCTATAAAAATGTGCATAATTGTGAGATTTTTCGGTTTAAATTACCAGGCAAACAGGAATTCCAGAAGGTGACCAACGATCAATTGGTTACTTGGTTTTCAGTAGAAACCTGCTACTGAGTATGATCGCCTGGTGCAAAAAATCGAAAAAATTCACAAATTTGCTAGAAAAATGTGCATAATTGTGAGATTTTTCGGTTTAAATTACCAGGCAAACAGGAATTCCAGAAGGTGACCGACCAACGATCAATTGGTTACTTGGTTTTCAGTAGAAGCCTGCTACTGAGTATGATCGCCTGGTGCCAAAAATCGAAAAAATTCACAAATTTGCTATAAAAATGTGCATAATTGTGAGACTTTTCGGTTTAAATTACCAGGCAAACAGGAATTCCAGAAGGTGACCAACGATCAATTGGTTACTTGGTTTTCAGTAGAAGCCTGCTACTTAGTATGATCGCCTGGTGCCAAAAATCGAAAAAATTCACAAATTTGCTAGAAAAATGTGCATAATTGTGAGATTTTTCGGTTTGAATTACCAGGCAAACAGGAATTCCAGAAGGTGACCAACGATCAATTGGTTACTTGGTTTTCAGTAGAAACCTGCTACTGAGTATGATCGCCTGGTGCCAAAAATCGAAAAAATTCACAAATTTGCTATAAAAATGTGCATAATTGTGAGATTTTTCGCCTTAAATTACCAGGCGAACAGGAATTCCAGAAGGTGACCAACGATCAATTGGTTACTTGGTTTTCAGTAGAAACCTGCTACTGAGTATGATCGCCTGGTGCCAAAAATCGAAAAAATTCACAAATTTGCTATAAAAATGTGCATAATTGTGAGACTTTTCGGTTTAAATTACCAGGCAAACAGGAATTCCAGAAGGTGACCAACGATCAATTGGTTACTTGGTTTTCAGTAGAAGCCTGCTACTTAGTATGATCGCCTGGTGCCAAAAATCGAAAAAATTCACAAATTTGCTAGAAAAATGTGCATAATTGTGAGATTTTTCGGTTTAAATTACCAGGCAAACAGGAATTCCAGAAGGTGACCAACGATCAATTGGTTACTTGGTTTTCAGTAGAAACCTGCTACTGAGTATGATCGCCTGGTGCCAAAAATCGAAAAAATTCACAAATTTGCTATAAAAATGTGCATAATTGTGAGACTTTTCGGTTTAAATTACCAGGCAAACAGGAATTCCAGAAGGTGACCAACGATCAATTGGTTACTTGGTTTTCAGTAGAAGCCTGCTACTTAGTATGATCGCCTGGTGCCAAAAATCGAAAAAATTCACAAATTTGCTAGAAAAATGTGCATAATTGTGAGATTTTTCGGTTTAAATTACCAGGCAAACAGGAATTCCAGAAGGTGACCAACGATCAATTGGTTACTTGGTTTTCAGTAGAAACCTGCTACTGAGTATGATCGCCTGGTGCCAAAAATCGAAAAAATTCACAAATTTGCTATAAAAATGTGCATAATTGTGAGATTTTTCGGTTTAAATTACCAGGCAAACAGGAATTCCAGAAGGTGACCAACGATCAATTGGTTACTTGGTTTTCAGTAGAAGCCTGCTACTTAGTATGATCGCCTGGTGCCAAAAATCGAAAAAATTCACAAATTTGCTATAAAAATGTGCATAATTGTGAGATTTTTCGGTTTAAATTACCAGGCGAACAGGAATTCCAGAAGGTGACCAACGATCAATTGGTTACTTGGTTTTCAGTAGAAACGTGCTACTGAGTATGATCGCCTGGTGCCAAAAATCGAAAAAATTCACAAATTTGCTATAAAAATGTGCATAATTGTGAGATTTTTCGGTTTCAATTACCAGGCAAACAGGAATTCCAGAAGGTGACCAACGATCAATTGGTTACTTGGTTTTCAGTAGAAACGTGCTACTGAGTATGATCGCCTGGTGCCAAAAATCGAAAAAATTCACAAATTTGCTATAAAAATGTGCATAATTGTGAGATTTTTCGGTTTAAATTACCAGGCAAACAGGAATTCCAGAAGGTGACCAACGATCAATTGGTTACTTGCTTTTCAGTAGAAACCTGCTACTGAGTATGATCGCCTGGTGCCAAAAATCGAAAAAATTCACAAATTTGCTATAAAAATGTGCATAATTGTGAGATTTTTCGGTTTAAATTACCAGGCAAACAGGAATTCCAGAAGGTGACCAACGATCAATTGGTTACTTGGTTTTCAGTAGAAACCTGCTACTGAGTATGATCGCCTGGTGCCAAAAATCGAAAAAATTCACAAATTTGCTATAAAAATGTGCATAATTGTGAGATTTTTCGGTTTAAATTACCGGGCGAACAGGAATTCCAGAAGGTGACCAACGATCAATTGGTTACTTGGTTTTCAGTAGAAACGTGCTACTGAGTATGATCGCCTGGTGCCAAAAATCGAAAAAATTCACAAATTTGCTATAAAAATGTGCATAATTGTGAGATTTTTCGGTTTCAATTACCAGGCAAACAGGAATTCCAGAAGGTGACCAACGATCAATTGGTTACTTGGTTTTCAGTAGAAACCTGCTACTGAGTATGATCGCCTGGTGCCAAAAATCGAAAAAATTCACAAATTTGCTATAAAAATGTGCATAATTGTGAGATTTTTCGCCTTAAATTACCAGGCGAACAGGAATTCCAGAAGGTGACCAACGATCAATTGGTTACTTGGTTTTCAGTAGAAACCTGCTACTGGGTATGATCGCCTGGTGCCAAAAATCGAAAAAAATCACAAATTTTGCCATAAAAACGCGGGATTTGTAGACAAAATTGTGAGATTTTATGGTTTTGGTTACCAGGCGAACAGGAATTCCAGAAGGTGACCAACGACCAATTGGTTACTTGGTTTTCAGTAGAATCCTGCTACTGATTATGATCGCCTGGTGCCAAAAATCGAAAAAATCCACAAATTTGGCATAAAAATGCGGTTTTGTAGACAAAATTGTGAGATTTTATGGTTTTGGTTACCAGGCGAACAGGAATTCCAGAAGGTGACCAACGATCAATTGGTTACTTGGTTTTCAGTAGAATACTGCTACTGAAGGAGGCGGTGTGTAATCAGAGTTCTGGCAGCACCCAAAAGTATATTATACGATATAAATAAATATAAATAAATTCGATTCGCAATACCCAGAATTTGTTTGCCGCCTTAATGGTAAAAAATTGAAATGGATTTCCATATACGTTTTAAATGCTGGAACCATTTTCAATTAAAAACCCCAATAAAAGACCATTGTTTTACTTCATTCAAATCTCGTGTTTAATTTAGCAGTTTAAAAATGTTCAAGCTTCACCTTGAATCCCATGCCGATTCCCAAAGAAATCCACATAACATTCACATTATTGTGCTCCGCAGAATATACATATTTTATTTCTTTGCGAATCGGCTCAGGCGTATAACGATTTCAATTTTCTTTTAGTAATTTGGGCAGTTGGTGAAGATTCGTATAACGTTTCCACACATTTTTACTTGCATTGGTTGTGTTCATTTCAACATCTTTTTAAGAACTGCGTAGAACGTTGATTAGCAAGTTTTTATTTGTTAGTAAATGTGTTTTTCTTTTTTTTTTTTTTATTTTTTTTTTTTATTTTTTTTTTTTAGTTATACTTCATGAACCGTAATGAAAGCGTAGGCTTTCAATACCGTTCAATTTATTCATTTTACGCAGTTCAAAATATTGCTTATCTTTGATTCCCATTTCGGAAAACGATTCTAAATTACGCCTTTTGGTGCGTTTTCCGAAATACAAATCTAGCTTAGGTAAGAAAAGTATGTTTGGTGATCTGAATGGGATACGTAGTTATGTTAAAACATAGAAAATAAACAGCAAGTATAGGAAGGGGACTCGGTTAAAAAAAAATTGAAGTTACTTGGGTAATACACACATAAAAGAAACGATTGAGAACAACTGACGAGAATCTGTAAACAGAAGGGGTTAGTTCTAGAACAGGATCTACTTCGGGCCGGATCTGAAAGATAGCAATCTGATTAGTATAATCTTCTCTTGTATTAGGCGGAGCTTCTTGGCTGTGGCCTGATGTGGGGTAGGACTGGATTTCATAGGCTTTATTACACCTGCTTGCATATCACATTCAGAAGAAAGCCCAAGCCTGTAATGGGTTTCCCTTCCTGCAGGACATTTGCACGGATAAAGTTCAATTGAACAGAAAAAATACTTGGCACAATGTTTCATCTCAAGCACCGACCAACGAAGAAAAGATGATTTTTGAATGGAAACTCAGATTCAAGAATAAGCCAGCGAATGTTTAAGAAAACTTATGAAAGGGTGCTGGAAATCGACTCGAATACAGGCAATTAAAAAGAAAAAACAATTGAAAACTTTGGCTCCGCGAGGCTCCAAGTTTCGTCTCTGTTCAAAACTCATCTGAAAGAACACACAGCATAGAAATAGGTTAATAATCAAGGCCAATAGACTAATAGCTTTTGCTTAAATCCCGGGTGAAAACGCATCGTCGGTGCCCAGTAGAAGGATCTTTTTTATTTGTACAAGCTTTGACATAAGTTTAAGCGAATATTTTCAGCCATTCTCAAATCAAATGTTGGCCAAACGATTGAACAACACTTAATTCGCTTTTAATATTTTTTGGATTTCTTTCGTTCACGAAACGCATGTTTTTATCATCCGTTTGCAAACATTTCTTGACATTCCTTCCTTTTCTTCTTCGCATAACTTTTGACTTGGCTTGTATAACAGTTTCATATTGGCTTCTGTTGGAACTTGTTATTTTTATAGGTTTTTTATACAGGCTTTGCCTGTCCTTTTTCCTCTAGTTGGGCCCCTACTCAACGTTTTCCAAGAATCGAAGACAAAAACTCACCTCCTGGCAGTTAATTTAAGGGCTTTTTCAGCTAATAAACTGATTAATTTCTGCAAGCAATATTTTGGTTAGTTCGAAACTAAAGCACATAAATAAAGCAAAATCAAAATGTCCCTTTTCGAGTGATTTCTGCTGAGTACTTGTTAGAAAGGAGTGCAGATGAGCTAAACTGATTCTTGAGTCAATATTTGTTGTGGCTTTTGTGATGAATTGTTCGTTTCGTGGCCTAGCTTGAGGTTTTGAAAGGTGCTGTCTTCATTAAGTTTAATAGGTTAGATGCCCTGTAGTCGGTGGATAACCATTTCAGTTCAGCTTTCTTGCTCACTTCAAGAATCTATGCAGTGGCAGTTTCTTCTGGGCGTAGCTTCTTGGCTTTTGGATCTTAGTTAAGCGGCGGCATGGCTCCTAATTCTACAAGTTCTTCATAACAAACACTTCAGTCCGTATAATCCAAAAAAAATTGATGAGTTCCTGGGCAGTGATAACCAACAACTATATAAAACAAATAGAAAAGAACCTCTACAATACTGCTTTGTAGGGACCAGAAATGGACTTTGATGGAATGTGAAGAGTGGTGAACGTTACGATGACACTTTCTTTGGCTTTAATAGAGCGCATAGCTCTGGCTTTGTCAGCTTTGGTTTGAGTTATTGCTGCTTTGGCAGTTGTTTACTGCTTTATTGCGATTCTACGCTCCTGGCAGAGCATTTCTTTCTGGTTTGGCCGGTCCTTTCAGAGCGGAGCGGTATTCGTGAGTGCGGTCTGAACTCTTTGCTTTCCGAGGGATGCCCGTGTGTTATACGCATCTTTCGATGCGTCGATTATTGCTTATCGGTGTTATACAGCTTTACTGCTCTCTTTCGGGCCTTGCAGTCCGCCCTATGGCCATCTCACTCACCCGCTTGCGATGCAAACGCCTGGCCAGCGCGACAGAGAGTGATGGAGAGAGGGAGCCGTCTCTCCTTGTCTACAGTATTGTTGTCTCGCTCGCATCCGCGTACCGCCACATGCGACCGATAGAGGTATGCGTACGCGTCTTCTCGAAACGCAGGTGGCGCCAAGCGAATGCTCTGGGGCTCCTTTGTCTCTTTCGTTCCAGTCAGACTTTTCCATCTCAAGCGTTTTCGTTTCCTTACTTTCCGGGCAGGAGTATTGCTCCCCCTGGATTTATGGGCCATAGGGTCTCCTAAGTCTGCAAGGTTCATTTTATATGGGACTCATCCACTCCGCTGGCAGTGGCACAAGTTGCACCACTCGCACCACTTTCGCTATTTCAGACAGCCGCGTCTTCGATGCCTCGAAGACGCCACCCGGAAGAATTGCAGCTCAGGTGAAGAATCTCTTACTTTTTGATGGTTTCTTTGCTTCATCAAGTTTTAATGATTCTATGAAGCGAGTATTGCGCTTGAAGCTGTGTGTTTCTGGTCACATGTATTGAATTGAGGAGTCAGATTTTTAAGGTGGGGCTGGGGATGCCCAGAAGTTGTCACTGCCCGTTGGAACACGTTTCGGTGCGGTTGCGTTAGGTCTCCCTAGTTGTAGCAGTACATTTTCTAGCTAATTTCACCTTAAAAAAAATGTCACTTTAAAAAAATTTTAAAAAAATGTACACTAGTAACTCCTCCGGGATGAGTTTCTTACGAGAAGTTTCCACTACGCCATGCCGCCGACGACTGATGATCGATTTAGCAGCGGTGGCAAGAATGTAGCCTCGGTTTTCGGGGACCTCGCCTACCTGAGTCCAGTCCAACCCCTATAAGCCATTTGGGTTAGGTTCCCAGGGCCTCTATTGTCCGGGGTCGCCAAGGCCACGAACTGCAGCTGCTACAGGCACGTTTTCTGGTTTTTGCCTGGATGCCTGCATTCTAAATGGCTTCTTTGGTATTGACTGCGGTGATGGCAATGCCTTTCGATGAATTTTCTTTAGAGGCTGCATCTTGCCTTATGAAATAACCGATCATTTTGATGTTTAAGTAATTTTTCTTTAATTTAAATTTAATTTTAAAGGCCAGGCCCTGTAACTAACACTTCTCTTCGGTGACTACGCATTAAATGCTTGTCGGCGAAAAAACGACGGCCATTAGGGCTGCCACTTGTCGAAAAAGCCGAAGAGGACTGCTCGTATATGAAACTACGCCCCTGTCTTCTAATATCAGCACGCTTTTGAAGTGCGGTGCCCTGGTCTTTGATTACAAATTACTTACAACTGCTATGAAATAGGCTTACAAGCTTGCTTAAACGTATCAAACCGTTTTCTATTACCGATCACTTGACATTTCACTACATTTCCATTTTCAACTCCGAACGTAATTTTCAACTAGATACAGACTACTACGAACTGCCTAATACAGTATATTTTTCCAACGAGGTGGTAACGCTGGCCAATTGCATTTCTGTTATATTGAACATAACATCTAACATTAACAGCAAATGTAGGACACAGTTCAGTTTCAAACCCTAACTGAAGTTTTAGATTATACGAATATAGCTAATATTAATGTATTGTAAATTTTTTAAAATGGTACTTCCAATTTCTCGTTTTGAAAGGTCGACTGACCTGTAAACAGTGTATAATCTACAGAGGGGATCCAGTATTAATATGTGAGTGCCATACATGACCTAATCAAATCATTATTGAAATGCCATGTGTAATAGAACGTATAAAATGTATTTACAAAAAAAATTGGGGTAAAAAAATGCAACTACATAATACTCGTACAAACGAACGTATTTACAGCCAACTACATAAATAAATGCGCACAGATAAAATAAATAAAAGAGCTACCTACGACTAAATGTGAATGCGGGCGACGCTGTTGATATGGATATGGATATTAAGTACGAAAATCAGGCATTTATGCCTCCGAGAAATCGTTGTCGTAGGCGTGATTGCGGTAGGCCCCGTACCCCGGTTCTGCCTCAATGCCGCCTGCTTTTCGTGGGGTAGTATTTACTGTAGTGGGCTTGGGCTTCGACTGCATAACATTCTCGATTACCGCATCGTCGTCGTCCTCGAGGTCCTCGCGCTGATCCTTGTACTGGTAGCTGCGGGCTAGCCACAAGAAGATCAGCATATCCACCAGCATGAGGCTGGCGAACAGGGTGAACTCCCCGGACTGCGAGCTGGTGAACTTGAACTCGGCAATCACCACGACGAGCATGTTGCCAATGGCCACCGAAAGCAGCCAACAGGCCTGCAGAACACTCTTCATGCTAGGCGGCGACTGGGAGTAGGAGAACTCCAGTCCCGTTACGGAGAACATCACCTCGGCTGCGGTCATCACCACAATTTGGGGCAGCTGCCAAAGAATCGACACGGTACTGGGGGCTACCCCCTCGACCAGGTTGTATTGGTAACCATCGCGGGCACTTCCTGACACCAGAACGCTGTAAATTCGACCACCTTTGGCCTCGAAGCTGGCCACCTTTGTACCATTGATGTCTAGCCGAGTGAAGCCAGGTGTTATCCTGTGGAGCTGGGACACATTGTGTTTGTCCACGGTAAGCGGTGCCTCCTGGAATGCGGCTGATTTAGTTGATAGATGTATAGGTCCCTCGTCGTCTGGCGTGTTTAGCAGAGCTCTCACAGAAGTGCGACCAGTGTCAGTGGCGGGCATTTGTAATCCATCAGCGAACTCGACGAGCTTGTCCTGGGCTAGGAAGTAACTCACAGACTTTCCTGGTTGCAAACGCAGCTTGCTGGTGATGGCAGGGCAGTCTCCGGATACGGGCTGAGCCTTAAAAGCGTATTCCTTGGACTTGGGCATCTGGAGTGAAAGATCCTCCCACACATTCAGAGGTTCTATAAAGCGTGGAGTTTCAGTCTTTTGGACCACTGCACTCGAGATCTCATAGCGACAGGGCATGCCATTGAATATTCTCAGGTGGGCCATGTCATGCTCAGTAGGCGTGCCTGTGTAGGCGGCCTGCTCCATCTTCATCTCAAGACCCGCTGAGAGGAAGAATCCCAAGGCAGCCAGAAGAAGGCCTATGGTGAGCTTCTGCAGAGGTCTCCTTATTCCACAGCGTGCCAGAATAGGGTAAACGATATAGTCGAATAAAGGCAGGAATCCGAGGATGAGCAAGGGATTGACAACCTGCATCTGGTCGGGCTTTATCTGATAACCCCACACCATGCCGTCCATTCGTGTGGCCTGGAAGGTCCATCGCGAGCCCTGCTGGTCAAAGAGCGCCCAGAAAACGGGGAAGGGCAGAAAAAGTCGCAGGATCCTGCCCAGGCACTTGGTCTCCCGCACCATTCGTGCCCCCACCGTCGGCTTGGCATAATCCAGAAAGCTCTCCATTGGCTCCGAGTGCCTGCGCTTTTGCCATCCCTTGAACGCATCCGCAATGCAACGCGATACCCCGAAGATCATGTTGCCAGCCGGTGGCTGACACTTGTACAACCGCTTGCCGGCCATGAAGATTACAACCGAAATGATCATCAAGATGGCGGGCACGCCAAAGGCCAGCGAAAAGCAATCCTGGTCGCCGAAGCAATGGACGTCTGCCCTTAGGATCGGGGTGAATGTGGTAGATATCAGAGATCCTGCGTTGATAGCAAAGTAGAACAGCGAGAAGAACTTGGCCAGCTGGAGACTTTGGGCGGGCAGCGAGAACTGGTCGCCACCAAAGGCCGAAACGCATGGCTTGATTCCACCAGTCCCGATCGCAATTAGTAGGAGTCCCACAACGGTCACGGCTCTAAAGGCGATAAATTAAGACCAGACAACCATGCTATGCAGTATATACTCACTTGACTGGCATCCCTGTTATCGGAACGGCGCCAAAGGATACCACCAAAGCCCCTAGGCTGTACACCAGCGATAGATATAATATCGTCTTGTACTTTCCCAGCCAGCCATCGGCGATAAGAGCTCCGATCAGGGGGAAGATGTAGACCAGCATGGTGAACGTGTGGAACAGTACTGTTGCCGTCTCCTCATTGTAGTCCAGTTTGTTGGTGAGGTATAACACCAGGATGGCTGAAAAGGATGAATGTATGAAAGGCACAACTTGGATGCCGACAAAGTTACTCACTGCGCATGCCATAGTAGTTGAAGCGCTCGCAGAACTCATTGCTTATGATGAAGGCCACAGACTTGGGATACGGAATGGATGGCTAGTCGAGAAAAGAAGAAGAGTTTAATTAACTATAGCGATCTGATTGCCCTTAGTAGCACCCTTTTTTATCAGATCCCAGGGCCCTATCTCGTCTACGTTTATTTATCGATGTCCCACCATTGAGAATATGTCGTTTCACGGGCTGACTTGGCAATTATACCACCAAGTACCCATGTCGATAGAAATTTAAAAACCACCCGACGCCAAAAGATCTTTGGGTTTTAGGTGCATTTGAACGTACAAGACATTCCATCTCAAAGAAGCTGAAGAAACTTTCTATTAGTTTACCTTGTTTTGTGGAAACTTCTCTGAATTCTAACAAAGCAGTGACACAAATTAACTATTATATGAACGGCCTTTTAAAGCGCGAAACGCCTAATCTGTTTATAATAGTATTAAACTAACAGGGGACTTTACATTCTACTCATTGTAATAAATAAATTGTTGCCATTTTATATAGAGTTACATGGGTTATATGGACAAAATAATTCAAATTTAATAAAAAAAAATGTAATAGATATGAGAGACTTTTTCAAGAATTTTATTTCTATGTCGCTATTATGGCACTTTTAGAATTGAAAAGTGAATATGGGGAAAAATCCCCGTTCTCAACACTTGATAATAAGGAAGGGGGAACTTTACAGTATCATTATATACAGTGTAATGATATTAGCTTGGTGGAAGTTAGTAAGTGTCATGATGAGGTCATTTCACTAGGGTATTTTTAAGGTATTTCGGATGGCCCTTAACTTTTTGGCGTTTTCTAAGCTTATTCTCATGGAAATGTTGCTTTCTGTGGTCACAACGTCTGCTTTTTATTTTGGCTTTCGATTTTCTTGGGTTTGTTTTGTTTTGTTTTGCTAGGGTATTTAGTTTTCTGTTGTGAATTTGCCGCGTCTCTTGGCCAAGGTGAGCAACGAAACGCAAACGGGTTTGTGCCCGTTTGAGACTACCAGTGTCTCCGTTTGTCAGTTGGTAAGATATCCATTGATGATTGAGAATTCTGTGCACACCACGGCCTAGGCCAAGTGCCCCTCCTCATCCTCCTTTCCGATCCCTCCGATCTCCCCAGCGCTTTTCGCTCTTCACAAGACTCACCGTTGCCGATTTGAAATTCTCCGGGCCAACAACTGCATTGCCGACAAATGCCATAATGAGCTTTACGTAACGATCGCTTCACTAGGGGGTTTCTGATTTTGGTTCGAACAATAGTTAGACTTCGACTCGAATCTAGCCAAGACTTCACTGTGCACCCAACTTTTTTGACCCCCAAGATCTTCTGGACTTGAGCTCCCGTCTGTCGGAGGCAACGTTCGGTATCGAACTAAGAATTCTCCGGAGCTGGCTCCGAGCTTTAAAGTTCGATCTGCCACCCGTCTTTCTTCTCGGCCTTTCTTCCGCTCCGAGTCCCTGCCCGCCGCCTCGAGCAGTAGTAGTTGTTAAGCATAGGCAAATAAATTAACAAACAATAGAGGATCGCCATAGAGTCTTAAAAGGGTTGGGGGCTTAAAGGGGGCTCGAACAGAAGATGGTGAGATCAAAGCTACAGCTGATAGTCTCTGTCTTGTCTAGACTCTAGAGTCTACACCTTATCGCCGATACCTCTTGGGTAGGCGAGCGGGCGAAGAATGATAACAGCGTGCGGGTAAATGCATTTGCGTAGCCCGATCCGCAAACTGGGTCACTATCGATGTTACACTCTTTTGACAAAGGTACATTAGCTGCGCAAAACTATTGAGAACCTATTTACCAAATAGTAATTTTAGCTCCTCAATTATTCAAGAGCAGTAGTTTTAATTATGGTGTTTCATGTGAAATATGTACTTAATAATAAGAAGAATAATAAAATAATTCGTGGGGCGTTTAGCTTGACAGTCTATAATTGTTTGGAAAATATTCCAGTTGCATTCGTAAATGATTACAGAGTATTTCTTGGCCGACGCTACAGTGGATACAAGGCCTATTCGATTCTTGTTTTGATTCTGACACACGACGATTAATTCAATCAATTTGCGGGCAATAAAAGGATCTCGATTTGCTCTCACTTTTGCTTGACACACATTTATCGATCGCCGGGGCGTTCAAGGTCAGCTGCGCTGTCGCTGTGATCAATAGCCTTGGAGCAAAAGAAAATAAAGCAAGTGGCGAAGAACGTAGAAAGAAGAAAAGTCATTGGAACTTTGTGCGCTTCTTTTTCTCAAACATCACCCACTGCACGTTCGCTTGGGCATGTGTGCA